ACGTGTGTTTGTCTCCCAACAGATCCCGGCATCGACTCCAACGACGAGAACTCGCAGTCCATGAGGAGTGAGGGCCGGTCCTCTCAACCGCAAAGTAGGCCTCACTTTACCATTGAGTTTGACGCAAACTTTTGCCACAATCATCTAAACTTTGTTTCCATAGTCTTCGAGTCGGGCAACGGTTCCGTTCAGTACCAGTTCAAGACAGAGAACGGACAGACGGGTTAGTCATGCATTCATTGACCACTTTTGCACACAATTAACGCTTGTTTACGCACTTTGAAGGCGCCGTCACCTACAGAGTGGTCACTGTTGACGACTCACACCCCACACATACAGGTGCGCAACACTTTGCCATTCATTTGAAACCCATTATACCAATGATTAATGCATTTCTTATGAACCAAATCAGTGGTGACACCGACTATAGTGAGTCCCACTCAACACAGTTCTGTCGCTCTCCTCACCGGTCGGTTCACTCATTGCTGGCAATGATTTTGATTTTATAACTCATTATATGATTGATTGACAGCACATGCGAGCAATCCTTTCGGTGCCTCTCAACCGATTGCCACGAGTGGTGGTACTGACGGTCCCTACTATGTGATGATGGCTCCCACTTCAGCGGACCTCATATCTCACTCAACGTCTAGCATCAGAAGAGCCAGTAATTGTCACCAATTGAACCAATTGTCACCTTTTTTGGTAATGCTTTTGTATGGCTCTGACAGAAAGCAACTCAGAGGGCTCTGGAGGCGTGCCTCGTGTGGCCAGGGATGAGAAGAGGAGAGCCACTCATAATGAAGTGGAGCGCCGAAGAAGAGATAAAATCAATAATTGGATAATAAAGTTATCAAAAGTAGTTCCCGACTGTCAACAGGACCACACCAAACAGGTATCAATGATATACTGTATATGTGTTGACTTGTCGTGTGATTATATGTAAGGTATGTCTTAAGGGCCAATCAAAAGGCGGAATTCTGGCCAAAGCCACAGAATATATACAGGAGTTGTGCGCCGAAAACGGACGACTCAATGAAGTGCTCAAAGAAAATGAGATTTTGAAGTATTTATAAGTTTATTACTAATATGAATACTAAACTATTATATTATACGATTTCTAAATGAATGTTAAGTACTTTTACTTTGTTTTTAAACACAATTTTTTATCTCATATTCATTTCAATGACATATAAAGCGTCAAATCAATTTACATACTGTACTGTAGCCTAAACTTCTAGTTTGAGTTATTGACTGATAATTTGATATATTTCGTGATATGTAGTGTAAATAAAATCATGACATAAATATTGTATTAATACTTATTTCGTCACTCCTATAGCAATGAATTGGATGCCATTCGCCAGCAATTTGTTGATACAAAGAATGAGAACCGAAGACTCAAAGCTCTTCTGCAAAAGCACGACATTCCTATCGATGACAACTACTGATTGAATAATATATATTATCATATATTATTTAAATATTAATAAAAGTATATAAAAATAAGTATAAATATATTGTTATTTCATATAATGGTATCAATGATAATACTTTATTATATAGAGTACGAACAGTTCCATTCAATGTTTTGTAGACATAATTTTGTTAATAAATGATTTTCAAGTTATTTCAATCATTTCAAACTTTTACTTCTATTGGAATCGACTTCTACAGTAAGACAGGCAAGTTTAGTCTAAACTTAGAATATAGAGTTTAGATCACACATAGTATTGTGACTTACTGTTCACTAACCCTCCAGTCGATCGACAATATTCTTCGTATGTTATGTTTGGATGTTTTCTCCCCATTTCCCGAACCTACAGCTTAATCGAGTCTATTTGGATCGATGGCATACTTTTTGAGATTCATATCTTATAAAGTATCATAATTAGGTGCATAATGTTTTCAAATGCATAATAAAAGAGGTTTATTACACTCAACCATCCGGTCAACCATTTAAGTACTAAATTATTTAAGAAGGCAATATTGTCGTACACATACAGTAGCTATCAAATTTTCCATGTAAATTTACATAAATTTTAACATGTTTAGAAATTAACTTATTGCTTTTACAGTTGATCCTTGGACATACAGTTATGAGTTACGGTAAGAATTTATTTAAATATTTAAATATGATTTTTATAATATTTTTGACTTAATACTTTAGTATTTAAATATTTGAATGCTAATCGTTTGCCCAAATTTTGGTCTCCAAAAGCATGAAACTCATTTTCGACCATTTAATGAGATTTGTTGTAAAATAATAATAAAATAATTTATTAGATCATACACTTTATGAAACAAAAACACATTGAATGCAAATTATGTGTTAATTTTGTTAGTATTTCTTAAACCATAAATTACTTTAATTTTTGTAAAAAGTTTATATAAATTTAATTAAGTGCTAACAAAGCATAAAACGAGTGAAAATTATAGTAAAATTCATTGCATTGGAGGTAATTATTACATTTTATGACTTTATATACCGGTATATAATACATAATATCAATTTATATAACTTTCAGAGAGTGTTATAAACAGACAGTCTTTACGAGCGATTAGGACTTTAACGATG